AAAATTTACCACAGTCTTCCGGCCGAGTTTTGTCAAGAAATTCTGGTTCATCATGTGGTTGCAGACGGTGTCCACGTCTCCGTTATACACCAAAATACGGGCCGCCTGGAGAAAAATGCTCGTTTAGAGGTCATTTGGTGCTTGGGGCACCTTATTGACTTGCGTGAATTCGGGGGTCATGTCGAAGTGGGTGACGCTGTATTCACGGGAGACTGGATCGCTGAAAATGGAGAGATGGGGCGAGGGAGCGAGAGATAGAGCGAGAGAGAGAGAATGAGCGAGAGAGAGGGGAGGGGAGAGAGCACTTTAGAGAGAGAGAGGGAGAGAGAGGCGAGATAGAGAATGAGCTCGAGAAAGTGAGATAAAGCGTGATAAAGAGTGAAAATGAGCAGGAGATAGTGATAAAGAGCGCGAGAGGGAGAGCGAGAATGAGCGAGAGAGCGAGTGAGAGGGACAACGAGCGTGAGAGAGTGCGAACCAGCGAGTGAAAGCGAACGACAATTTCCATAGCTTCCCTAGAAAAGACAATTTACGGAAAAATTTCGCCAGTGCAGTAGCCCAAAATCAAAAAAATCAAGGTTGCTAGCAGACTATTTGAGAAGCTCTATTTCTCTCATTCCCAATTTTACCTGCACTCCTCCCAATCCGGCAACAGCCCCGGTATATGCAAAGCCTGTCGAACATCTCGGCGAGCCAGGTAGATCTGGGTGTTGTTGACTTGTGCGCATTGTGGCACCTAAAAAGCGATAGTTTAAGGCAATATCTTAGGCTATAAACTGCCATTTCATCAATTCTTTTTCGCGTTTTTCGTACGTAGGCGACAAAAAATATTTTCAAATTGATTCATTTCATGTTTGAACACTCACGTAGGCTCTACTCGTCTTCGGTTTTGCCGGCGCTAGTCCGGCCATTTTGCGGAACATCCGGTGGATATGGGCTTTTTTGCCCTGCATCGATCCGTCCAGATAGCAAGTGTTGTAGAGGTTGTATGGGTCCAGCGGGTCCGTCCCGTCCAACAACTGCAAAAATTATGCTGATTTGAGTCGGATTTTGAATCGGAAATCCGCTCACATTCGCCGGAAGAATCTCGGCTGGTCTGCCCATCGCCAAATCCCTTTCCGGCCCATTTTACTAGGACCTGACTGACCTCGATGAGCAGCTGCTTGCACTCCGGATTGCTGCCGAACAGGCCGAAGACGTTGCAGTCGAGCATCGACTGGTTGCAGCATTTCACCGAGATCGTGTCCCAAAGGCTGCAAGAAGCTATTTTAAGCGGCCTTAAAGGGGAGAACGCATTAGAAAAAGAGCCGAAAGATATATCCTTAAAAATCTCGTTAAAATCTCCCTGAAAAAAAGCTTGAAAACTACATTTTTGGGGGCTAAAACTATCAAAAGTATGTGGTTCGGCTACATCGGCCATGCGCTTTCACATGGCGCCAAAACTCGATAGATGAAACAGTAAAACAAAAAATACTAAAACTAACTCCTGGCGCACCAGCGCGTGATAGTAGTACAGCGGAACCATCGTATCGTAATTATTCGGCCAGTTCAGGGCCCCATTGCCGATGGCCATTCCCTGAACCAATTTTCACAAAAAAATTCGACTTCGGTTACCTTGAAATTGGGAAAATTGACCGTGTCGTTGACGATCTTTGCGCCCAGCATCGGCAAATACACGCCGGCGTACGACTCGCCTAATTTTTATTATTTTTAAAAATTGCTATAAACCCCATACCGCTGATGTAAAAGTCTCGTCCGCGGAAGTCGGGGAACTTGTTGAAAAAGTCGATCTGAAATGGAAGCGAATCATCGGGTCGTAATCTACAACCATGCAGCATCTTTTGCGGAAAAAGGCAAAAAGGTACGCTCCTGGGTGGGTTCGAACCACCGACCTTTCGGTTAACAGCCGAACGCGCTGCCGATTGCGCCACAGAAGCACTGCGGAAGGGGATGGGGAAAGGGGGTCAAAGGCGCGGCCCGGTCGGCGGTAGCACCCTCACAGGCCACCAGGTAAAAATTTCCTGTTTCTATTACACATTTTCCAAAGCTTAAAAACGGTTCTTTTGCATTAACGGGGGTGGCTAACTTTTCAAAAGGCCCAATTTTTCGAATAGAAATCGAGGCAGTATTGCTACACCGTTTTCACCATTTCTAGACGTAAAAACGTCACAAATTTTGATTCAAAAATGAAAGAAACACCACACTCCAAAATTTTAACAAAAAAATTTCGAAGTGTTCTGATGATTATTCCATTTAAACATAGTTAAATTGCGCTAAACACAATATCAAAACACTCCCTATTGAATCGTTATACATTTCTGGACTTATCCCCCCCGCCCGATAATGCAAAAGAACCTTTCTAAACCTAAACCTAAAAATTTAAAACTAAAAACTTGCAAATATTATCAAAATTTCCCTACCAAAGCATTATAATTATCCTTGGCAACTTCATCGTCGTCGGTGGCCAAATCATCGTCGGTTGTATAGGAGAAGCCGACGCCGGCCGGCGATTCCACGAACAGCACAGAGGCAAACTTTAAAAGCTTAAAATTATACGAACCGCAAAAAACCTTATTCCAGCTGTACGGGTTTGCGTAGACGACGTTTCCATTGTTGCCGATCTAGACGATAAAGTTGCTAAAAACGAGCGGATTTTGGGAATTAAAAAATTTGGTTTTTATTTATTTAATTCTGAAAAACGAATGAGATAGCTCTTAAATCAAATAAAACCCTAAAAGGTCCAAGTTCTTCGAGTAGGCCTTCGAGCGAGGAACATCCGGGGCCCCCGTTGAGCCACAGCAGCACCGGGTCTTTCGTGTAGTCGTGCTGTGAAAACGTGAACCTGTAAACGGGGTGTAGCTTGTAGCGCAAAAAAACAACGCAAGCCAGCCGTACTGCTAAAAATCCCAATTATTATTTAAATTGACGCGATGCTACTTGAGCATTATCGGGGGGTATGACGGGGAAAATGGATTTTCTTTTTGTATACATCCAAATATGCATAAAAACGTAAGAAAAAGTATTTTGATAAGCTTCTTAGTAAAATTCTACTATATTTCAAGTTTAAAACCTATCTAAAAAGCTTAAAAAAATTTTAAACTCAAAATTTTTCGCGAAAAGCGGTTGTTTCCTAAAATTCGTAAAAGCTTAGGTTTAGGAATAGTGAAAAACGGTTTCGGACACTTTCAATACATAGAAAAATAAGGTACCCTAAGATAAGCGTTGTTTTCCCCAGATACCCCCCGATAATACCAAAGCACCAAAGAGTGTAGCGTACCAATAGTGGAACTTGTGGGTGTCAGATGCCTGCAGGTAGCCCGAATACTGCTGGAAATTCACGGTGAAGTTGACGAGCGGCAGGCTGCCGATCTGAATGCAATTTTTTAGCGGGTTTTTTCGATTTTTGCAAGGTTTTCTCTTAATGCAAAAGTTTTATTGGGTTCCAGGCTTACCTTGTCCTGTTCTGGCCATCCGTACACGGCTTGCAGCGCGAGAAAAGCGCAGAAAACGTAGGAAATTGGCGGCATTAGTGCTCCGAGTCGGCGAGTGTCTATTTTGCTATCAGCGCCGTCGATTGTCAAAGCGGTGGGCGAGGGGCTTAAGCCATACTATCGATAATCCCCTGAATTTTCGTCATATCACCCGAACGGCACGCGAAAGGCCCTGGGCGTTAAAGTTGAAACTACGCGCCCGGGGTGCCTAGATGCGGCAACTCAAGCCATTCTTTCATCCGCGGTGAAAATGAAACTACGCGACGCTCCAATACACGCCGTCTAGAGCCAAACTCTAATCTAAACTGGAAACTTCAAAGCTTTCGTGTAAATAGTTTTTGAATTGCAGCTTTCTTTTTAGCTAACCACGTTCAAATCAGCGCATTCTGTTCTACGACTTTGGAAATCATTTTTTTAAGTTAGAACCTAAATAAAAAGTTATAAGCCTTCAAAGATTTTCTCCTTAGTAAGTTTCCTCGACAGAGCAGGCATGTTCTAGCAGATTTTCTGAATCCCAGGATTTCCTGATCGATTTTTGGCTTTTTTATGGTGCAAAGTTAAAACGCTTTTTTCATCAAAACGCAATTTAATCAGCTTTTGCTCGATCCACGGAGTGCGTTTTTAATTCGTCTAAAAGCTATGAACTGCGTGCCAAAAAAGTAAAAATTCAGAAATTGACTTTTTTTTGCAAAATCTTTATACCTCAAAAAAATTCAGAAATTCGCAAACCCCGGTAAAATCTAAAACTTCACAAAATCTAAAACTTTGGAAAATTGGTTAGCACGTTTCGCCTAATCTTCATCGGCTAAGCCTGAATGCAGGGGCGTACGAGGGGGGCAACAGGGCAAGCCCCAAAATCGGCCGAAGGCCGAAAGTTCATAAGGGGACCCAGATTTATCAATAAAAATTTTTCTACCTGCGGCGATGTTCATTACTGTTTTTAAAACCGATTTTTACTGCTACGAAGCCTATTTTTCCAAAATTTTTTGCCTGCGGCGCTGTTTTTCATTAGTGCGTCAACTGTCCATGTAAAATTTTCGCCTGCGGCGCCTTTTCTGTGATGTTTTTACATGAATTTAAGCGTTTCTAATGCTTTTTCCTAATTTTTTTGTGGCTTGCGGCGCTGTTATAGCTGCTATTTTTGAACGTTTTGAAAGTGGTGACCAGGGGGTCGACAAATTTTTCGAGTGCCCCCAAATCGGGTTCGTGTACGCCCCTGCCTGAATGGACATCTAAATTGTAAAAGTCAGCATTTGTCGGTCGGTAGACGTAGGTTTTTTGATCCACCTTTTGTACCAGTGCGTTGCAAGTTCGTCGGTTTTCTTTTATTTTATTCCTGTACACGATAATCACACTCAAAAAGAAAGGACATTGAGCGATAAAATTAGTAGCGGATGAACATCAGATATTGATACAGATATTTGTGATAGATATCGGGATTGCGAGCGAGTTTTTTTGGGATCAGTCAGTTTCGTCTCGTGCATCTGTGGTCGTGAAGAGAGGGGCTCAGTGCGAGCTCTTCGTGTCGGATGAGCTCATTTGGGCAGAGGAGCTCGATTTGGAGCTTCGCAAATCAACCGTGATGTCGTTCTGGAAAATAAAAAAATATTTAAATATTACAAACAAAACATTTCTTAAAAAACTCACCGGGTCGGCCGGCTCATAATCAGCCTTTTTCCATCCGGCTTCAAGCTTTCGGTTTAATTCCTCCTGCGCTGAAACGGGATGAATAGTTGGGCGGATTTTTTTATAGAATTCGTGGGCTGTTTCCGAGAACGTACTCGAGATGTTGTCGTTGATGTTAATGATGAAGATCGGCTTGATGACGTTCTTCGCCGGGTCGACGTACAGGATCGCGGCCAGATTGTCCTGAAAAGACTCTTTCGTCAACAAAATCTTACTAAAAACCTTTATATAAGTTTAGAAACGTCTAGTAACTTAAAAGAAAGTGTATTTAATATATATAACTATATTTAAACTCGAAAAACTATCTAGAACTTTAAAAATGTTGAAAAAGTCGAAATTATGGTAAAACATCGGCCTTTTCGGTCAAAAAAAACAACGATATTTTCTGATTTTTAAATACAAACCAGGGTTGAAAAGCCGCTCCGCGGCTTTTCACCCCTGGCCCTCGTCTAGGTACGATCACAAAAATACTTTTCATATTCTACCCAAATCCCGCTGACAAAAAGGGGAAATCTGCTCTGTAGCCTGATTTTATAGGCAATCTCCACTACCGGTGCATGCAAATTTTGCCTAACAAAGGTACTTTCACAAAAACCTAAATTTAATGTCGAAAATAGTAAATTTTGACAATTCTAATAAGTCGGCAGTCATCTCCACTCAATTACGCACCAAATGACGTGTCAAACATGTCGGAAAACTTCTTCCCTGACCCGTTATGAGCGGAACATACATCCGGAAGTGGATGCAAATCTACACAGACACACACACACACACACTATTTTTTTAATATAGTAGGATTGGTAAAGTTTCACGTTTAGGAATAGCAAAAACGATTTAAAAACACTTCCACGATCTATATGCGCAAACTAGATCATAAGAAAAGGGTTGGTTTTTTCATCCGATTAGTCCCCCCCCCCTATAATACGAAAGAACCATTTGTCAACATACCAATACACGCGGTGTTGGCAGCTTCTCGCCTACTTCTGGCTGAAAAAAGAAAAGTGCAGCGAAGTGAACACAACGGACCTGTTAATGCTGAACAAATGCGCGAAAAATACGAAAAGTTGAAGGTAAAATACGTACGTTTGGGTCATAGAAGGACGATGAGAAGATGGTAGCCACGGGCAGGTTTTCAAACCTCTTCACACCGTTCGACATCGACTATAGTGCACGGTTACATCCAATTTTTTCAAAATTACAATGCTTTTTATAGGCATTCAACTTCCGAATAAAGCTAATTAAATAAAATCCAACCTGATGGCCACGGAGGATGAACTCGAGGCCGAGCCTGGCCATGTCCTTCTGGATTGCCTTCGGGCCGCAGAGATGTCCGTAGTTGCGCGAGGTGTTGGGAGCGTAACTGAATGGCTGCTGTATACTTATAACGAGACCGGTTTTGGCAATACAGGGTCGAAAACACGCTAAGCGGTCGGTTCCAAAATTAGTTCCGCTTACAGTTTGACATCTTTTGCGGGGTCGTTCCATCGGAGATGCCGGCTCATGTCGAACAACGTTTCTTCACGAGGATCCCATCCCTTCCGAAGAAGTTCTGGCGTCAGGTCGCCCGCTAGAAAATGGTGATCTTTGTGATCGGGAAAGGTTCTTTCCCATTTCGGGGAGGGGGCGGGGAGCAAATTTTTTCTTAGGATCTCATTTTGCAAATATAAGCATTTCTAGATGGTTTTTTACTATTCCTAAACATGAAAACTTGGAAATTTTTATTGAAGAGCATCAAAAATATAGCTTTTTCTACCAAAGAAAGGTGGATTTTCACCAAAATCTCGACTTTTCAAGTCTTTAGATAGTTTTCCTAGTTTAAATATAATTATATATTACTAACAAACATTAAAAACACCGTCCATTAACTTACAAGGATTTCTAGACTTATACAAACAATTTCGGTCCCATCCCCCCGGAAATGCGAAAGAACCGTTCCAGCTATCAAAAAAATCGGCGAAATTAACGTTCACCGGAAAAACCGACTCGTCAATCCGTGCATGCAGATCAATCGCTCGTCGATCAGGGCCACTGACGGTATGACGTCGTAGAGACTGTAGAACAGCTTTGCCACAGCCTCCGAGTATCCGCGCTCGGCCAGACTGTATCGGAAGAGGCTGCATATACTCTTCTCTTCGTGATTGCCGCGGAGGAGAAACACCTAAAGCCGCGAAAGGTGAGTAGCAAAACATCGGGCGACCGGTCGCGTAAATGCTGTGTTACCTGTTTGGGGAGGAGCACTTTGTAGGCCATGATCAACGTCAAGCATTCAATTTGACGGGGACCGCGATCAACGATGTCACCGAGGAAGAGCAGGCTAAAAAAATCGGCAGGAAACGAAAAAAAATTACTTTTGACCCGGCCCTCCACCAGCAACATCCGATAGCCATGCGTGGATGATTCGCCAGAGATCGTTGAACTGAAAAGTTGCTTTTCTAAGAAGTCCCACCAAAAATATGCCCACGTTTCCATGGATGTCCCCAACGACAATCGTTTTCCCTTTTGGCCTCACTACGGCGCGCTCTTCCAACAGAATTGCGCGCAGGCGGTCACAGAGGCTGCGTAGCGCATCCGGGCTAGGGGTGTAGACCGGCTGCAACAATTCAAAACCTTAATTCCACAAAACTATCCAGAAAATGGGCTGATACTATCACCTACCCAAAACCTGATATTTATACCATTATCTTCAGCACTGACCATTTTATTGTCTTCCGAGAGCCAGGCTTCACTGCCCAACGTTTCAACGATATTCCGTGCTACGGCTTTGGCATCGGGCGTTGCAGCGGTCATGAAGTAGACCGGCTCGAGTCGTGCCTGGAATCGCGAGATTTAATTAATGGGCAACCGGGGTTGGAAGGCCGCTTTGCGACTGTTATCTTGTTCTTTGTAGGAGAACTTCGACACTCTTACCCGGTTGTCGTGCCGCTCTACTGGAAGTCTATCTTCAGCCACCGGATCCTGAAAACGGTTTTTCAAAAAAATATTTCCCCAACAAAAGAGATGGCCTAACCGCTAATATCAAGCCAACACAAAATATTGGAAAGAAACTCTAAATGGTAGCCTTCATCTAGCCCGGGGAGGCCCGGTTGGGCGGGTCTGCGCGCCGAGCTTTTGCGAAACTGGTGTCCGTAAGAAAAGAGAGATTACGCACCGGCGTTGGTGGTGGCATTTTCTCGTCCTTCAACGGATTCTGAAAAGCATCGAATCGTGTGAAACATTAGAACATCAATCTGACCAAGTGGGCACGGTCGATTCGCAGAGCAAACCCCTCAGACACCAGTTCGAAGGAGCCGGGGACGCGCTCCGCCGGGCCTTGCGCTGTGTTTGTCTAAAACAACGATGGCATTTCTTTTTATTACAAAATCATCGGCTTACCATCCTTTCGAAATGTTTCTTGTGTCCTCCGGAAATTGTGGATGTTACAAGTTTGTAGAGGCCGGCAGCCAGTCCGGATGGAGGCTCTGTTGATATCGGCCGGGGAACGACAGGGGATCGCTCGGACACTTTCGGACTGGGTTCTGACTCGGATTCGGCCTTTTCCACATCTTCATCCACCGGCTTCTTTCTAAAAAATGATAAAAGAAAGGATAAACAAGATATGGGCTACTTTCTCTTTGCACAACGAATCCCGATGCCGATGATCAGTAATAACAAGATGACAGCGGCACCTGAAAGAAAGAAGGAAGATTATCTTGATACAAAAAGATCATAACTCACCAGCCACAATGCCGATAATGATGATTCCACTCGACAATAGATCAGGACTTGTCGTGGTCTCGGTTGGAGATGGTGCCGTTGTGCTTCCATATCGATTCGCGCAGATTCTCTAGAAAGAGCCAATTCATTTCTTTTCACTGTATTCTATTCAAAAAACAACAATCATTAGAAAAGAACCCTTACAGTGTCATTGCTCCCTTGGCACATCGGCGGCTTGATGGATAGTCCGCTTTTGTCGCCGTTGCGGAACAGGACAAAGATGTTCTTGTCGCAATTCAACATCACATCCGCCTCGACTCGTTTCCGATCTTTTCCCTAAATACAACAAGTTTCTAATTGTCACAAATTGAGCATCTACAGTCAATCCATCCACATCGATGCATCGAGGGTATCGGATCTTCTTCGGGCCGTCAGCTTGGCGACGAGTCCGGCTGTTTCCTCCTTCTTTCAATTCGGACAGAACGATCTGAAAAAGGTATTTCAAAGATATCCTACCTTATATAATTTTGGCGCGTATGTGTGTGTGTGTGTGTGGATGTCACTTTCAAGGCTCGATTTGAGGGCCTTCCCGTGCACAAAATGCCCTAATTCTCCGTCACCCGGGGGAATCGACCCTTCTGTTTCCGATGGCGTTTTCAGAATTTCGATAAAATACAAGTTTACAAAGTTAAAGACAGTTTTATTCATTTTTGAGGGTACCTGAAGGCTAATTTGCATAATGCGAAAAAATACAAACTTCCTCATTCTTGCCAGTTGCACTCGCGCGTGTGGTCGGGGCGGGGGGTCCGCAGGACCCGAGCTATCAGAAAGTCAAACTTTTCATGCAAAGGCCGCATTCCAGCGCCCAAGGCCCGCGAAGCGGGTTTTGGGCGCTGGTCCAAAGATAAATGGACTAGAACCTCGTGGAAATGCAGAGCAGAAAGTGCTTCTTTCGTTCCGTTTGTAGTGGAATCAGCTGATGGAATATTCGAATCATCAGAAGCCGCCTTCTCCGTTGCCACATCGACCTTCAGATTCTCTTCCAGATCCATGAATACTGCATACGGTCCAGACTAAAAACAACTTCGGAATCTTCGAAAAAAGCCTACCAGAGCTCGACGGGCTGTGAAGAAAGGAATCGGGCCATCTGGATCTGAGATATCCAGGAAAACACAATCCTCGTAGGTGTCGCCGTGTTGGTATTCGCATGCCTTGTCGCAACCGGGCGCTCCGAGCACTACACTGGATACAAACATTGGATTCCTAGAAACCAGATTAATCGAAATGGATATTCATACGGTGTGTCGCCATCTTCTTTGCAAATTGGTAGTGGTTCACAAGTGCCATCTGGAGGTCGCCCGCCCTTCTCGCAATACTAAATACAACGCTTTATGCGCAAAAATGTTTTGATTACCGTAACTTTCAGAGGATCGGCAACATCATATTTGTATTGAGTGAATGGCGATTCATCATTGGTGGCATATCCGGCGGCGATATGGAGACTCGGCACACAAGTGGCTGCTGGACTAACCGCTTCCATCACTCCGGCTTGCTTTGCTGCTTCGATCGCATCAGCGAGGACCCTGAAACCTCAAAGAGGTATCCCACACAAAAAAAACGAACGCTGGAATGGTGAAGCCGGCGTCGCATTGTACGAGGTATTGGTTGGTGAAGGATGCCGACTCCATATCATAATTCTTTGTGCTCCTAAAGCCACAATGTCAATTGATTCAAGATAATGTCCCTCTACCAAGCTTTTCCTTGACATTTGCCGGCTGCCACCATTTCACGCGTACACATATTGAACGGGAAAAGTACTTTTTCTAAAAAAAAGTGAACCCGGGGTAATGAAAAGCCAGACCTTTCCCAGAGTTGATCGTTGCTGGTAGGATGCAATCCGGCGTTTCAGATACGTCTTCGTCTTCTTTTTCCTGAAAAAAAAATGTTTGATATGTGTGCCAGTACTTACACAAAATTTCGGACAACCAATGAAAACCATCAGTTTGCCGGCAGGAGGCGGGCGCCCGGTAGAGCCGCCGGCTGCGCATGTCGGCGGCGTACAATCTGGACATTCCGTCTTCAACCAGGCGGGCATCTCGATTCCCGCATCAGCCAGATGTTCGTAGGCGTAGCAGAGGAAAGGGCGTCCTCCGCACTAAATAAGAATGCGTTATGTGTGCAAAAAAAAGGTTTGGATACAGTTTCACGTAGAACCCGATGGTGGCTGCCATCGAATATGGCTGATGGGACATCGAAAAAATGGCGAGCGGTGTGACGCGGTAGATTGACATCTCTGGAATGGCTATCTATTACCAGGGCACGTTCAGGGACGTTTTTGGGCCAGAAAGCAAAGACTTTTGCCGCGGCCGGGAGTCGAACCCGGGCCTCCCGATCGGGAGGCGCGGTCGCATACCAGTTAGCCACAGGTGCAACCTGGTGAGGGGCCGAGGGGCGCCTCACCCCGGAAAGGAGGGGAATTGCCTCCACTCCACGGGCAGGCCGTGCGCGCCGTCCCTTCGTCCATAGGGTGTATACGTTGGACAGAGTATACGGCCCCTCACTGAATGTGCGCTTTAACAGGGAAAATATTGAGGATACGAGCGCCAAGTTCCTAATAAGCCTTTTGTTTCTTTTTTTTAATTCTAGCCTAGTACGACCAAAAATGGCAATTCGTCTGGAGGGAAGAGAGAGGAGAGATGCTAAAAAGTTTAAACCGCGATGTCCCAGTGACCCGAACAGGCATCGTACAGTTTTTTAGACACTGGTTTAAACCAGTGTCTAACCATTTTTGATTCCATCTGAAACAGCATTTAAAAATTAGTATAAATTGTTGTAGAGCAGAATTTCACTGTTCGATGATACCAAAGCCAGCAACGGTACGAGTTTACTTTACCCCCCACAGCCGAAGGGTCTCAAAGTTTTCGGTATTTTCGCTTAATTTGTCGGGATTTATGCAACGCCATTCGATAGCGCGTCGAAAAATATACTAAGAGTTTTAATTTAAGCCTACAATAATGTAAAATAAAAAGTTATAGCCAAAAACTTCCGCCTGGGGGGGGGGGGTAAAGTAAACCGTAGCCCCAGCAAGGGCGGTGGTAAGAGTCTAGTTTACCCCCCCAGCCCTAACTTTTCAGCCATGCGTCCTATTAATGCGCCGAGTATCTCAAAATGTTCGCCGTAGTCGAACTACTATAGCCAAGTTGTTTTCTTACATCAAACATTGTTAGAAAATTTTTTAGAAGATTTTGAAAGTTGAAAAGATTAAGCCGTCATGCTTCGATGTATTAGGAGCCTAAAACTCAAATATTTTTATTTTCCGCTGTTTTTTTCGGCTCAAACGTCCTGTAGGCTTATTCTCCAGAGCAAGAGCTACATTTTGGTACCATTGACAGCTCTAGACTTTAGCCAGGGCGGTTTGGGCGTGCCAGGAAACCATGATCTATTGCCCTAGAAAAACAAAAAAAGACTGACGACTTGGCGTTGACATTGACGGTGAAGAAGAGGGCGAGGATGAACGAGTAGATGATCCGCATCCAGCCATCATCATCCATCAACCACCGATGACGACCTCTCATCGATGGACGAGTAGAAGAGGCCGTAACTTGTCGTGGGAATGGCGAGTGCAATTTCACCAAACCGAGACGGAAAAGCCCTACCAATTCCAATTTTTGGAATGGAAATCAGATTTGCAAAGGTGATTCTAAACTTTTTTTACTACCCCAAAAATAAAAACTTGTAAAATTCTATCGAATTCTATCAATCGTTCGACCGAAATTACGAATTTTAAAAAAATTTGGAAGCGTTCAAGAGCATGTCGCGATGTTCGTGCCAAACATTTATTCCCACCAAGGAATATCCGTAGAAGAATCAGTAATCACAGCGAAAGGGACACTATTCTGGGGAATATCGGGGATCACACAAAAGCGAGTACGTCAAAGGTTTGTTCGGTAATATTATCGTTGACGGCTGTCGAAGTGGATCATCTGGGCATCAGCTACTTTTCTTGTCATTCGCGTCCTTTTTCTGAAAAAATGACGGTAGATGAGTGGTTGCCAAATAAAGACACCGGTCGACACCCGTACTTTCGGGGTCAACAGAACCAGCTGTGGCACGATGGCTATTTTCAAGAATTTTGTTGCCTTTAAAGCCATGTTTTCGGGGAGAAAAGGTCGCTTACCGGCGGCGGGACTGCATAGCCATCGATCGCCCATCCTGCATCAAGCTTTCGGTTTAATTCCTCCTGCGCTAAAAGGATGCTCGCAATTATACGTTCTTGATGAGTGTCCGATTTTACGGGTTGATATCTATCGCAAGCTCTTGACATGCAAAGGCTTCATGCTTTTTGAAGACCGCCACTTGAAAATTTGAAAAACGCCGGCCAGACTCGAGCACAAATTTCAGATTTCAGACCAGGCAGCGGTTCAAAAGCGGCGAAAAGGTTCTTAAACCCTCGTTGTGGATCACTTCTGATTGCTTTTTTTTTACGCTTCTCTCTTAAACGTACTCGAGATGTCGTCATTGATGTTAAGGATGAAGATTGGTTTGATGGCATTCTTCTCGGGGTCGACGTACAGGATAGCACCCAGATTCTTCTAGAAGAATCCACAGCATATGTTTTGCGGCCATTTCCTACATTTCCGCCGTAGAAAGACGATGAGAAGACGGTGACCAGCCGGAGCCTGTCGAACGATTGCACTCCGTTCGGCATCATCTATAAAACGATCGTCAACGAGGACAGAGCCGTACAGATTTGAACACCCCGAAAAATACCTGTTGGCCTCTGATGATGAATTGAACGTTGAAGCTCTCCATAGCCTCTTCGATCGCTTTAACGCCGCATTGCTGTCCGAAATCGCGATACGGGTTGGGTGCGTAACTGCAAGTCTTTTTGAGTCAACGCAAGGAAAAACTATGCCCACCCGTCGACATCTTTTGCCGGTTCATTCCATCGAAGGTGCTTGGTCATATCATCGTAGGGAGTCGGCTTCTCTGACACTTCCCACCCCTCGCGCAGAAGTTCCGGCGTCAGGTCAAGTGCTGAAAGCAAGTTAGATCGAAAATAAACGTAGCGGCGGAGCTCAAGTTTTTTTGGTACATTTTCCGCAGGCTTCACTTTGTCACACTTCGGCTTCGATTTCGCAAAAAATATTAGTATTGTAAGATAATTGCCGGCAAATTCGAAAATCGAAAAGAAAGAATCGTTTTCATTGGGGGGGGCGCGTTTCGTCGACGGCGCCAAGCAAATCCCTGGCGAAAAAACACTTACACATCAAGCCGTGCATACAGAGAATCCGCTCGTCAATCAGACCCGCCGACGGCAGAATTTTGAAGAAATGGTGCAGCATATCGAACACTTCTCGTGCGTAGTAGCGATTCGCCACACGTTCTCCAAAGGGTCGGATGTAATCCAGGTCTTCGTGGTTTCCACGAATCAGGAACACCTGAAGGAGATAGACTATATGCGCTCTATGGGTACTGTCACCTGATCGGGGAAGAGCACCTTGTATGCCAGAATCATCGTGAAGCATTCAAGCGCCCGAGGGGCACCACTGATGATGTTGCCGAGGAATACGATACTGAAATATCGGCTAATAAAACACCCATACAAAGACCCGCCTCGCGGGCGTCCAAAAACTATAAATTTTAATTTGACGACACCCCGAGCGTGCAGTATTGGCCCACAACGCCTTGATCTCTTTGATTATATTTATTATGCCTTAAAATAGGATAAAAAAAACTACCTTTGATCGGGCCCTCCACCAGTAACATCCGAACGCCACGCGTGGATGATACGCCAGAGCTCGTTGAACTGAAGAGCAAACTTTGAATATCAGGCATCCCAATAGTTGCCCTAAAAATAGCCGGTAACCGGCAAAATACCGACATTGCCATGGATGTCGCCAACGACAAGGGTCTTTCCCTTTGGACGCGCCACACCTCGTTCAGCGGTCACAATCGGCGTCAGATTGACGCATAAACTGCGAAGATCATCTGGGTGCGGGGCGTAGGACGGCTGCAAAGATTGACTAAAGATGGTTCACCTAATTCGTACGAGTTTGTCGCCTTCGGATAGCCAGCCCTCGCCGCCGAACTTTTTCGTGATCTCGAGCGCCACGACCCTCGGATCCTTGGCCGTCGCAGCATTGTAGTCGACCGTCGTGAAAAAGAACCGAGGCTCTATACCCTAAAAACCAGCTTTGATTTTTAGGACAGATCAGCGCAGACCCCCCGCTCCGCGGGGGTTCAGCCTGGCCCTCCCGGGGGAAAGACGAAACGCTAGAGCTCCGGTGAAAATTTTCAGCCCCCGACTACGGTAGACAGGGGGATCGCGGCGGGATTGAATTCCCGGTCGCGGTCGGTCGGGCGGACGGACATTAGAAATTTATATATAGTAGATAGATAGTAGATGTCAAAAATATCGGTTTTTCGATCAAAAAATGGCCGATTTTTGACCAAAATTTCGACGTTAAAATTTATTATTGATAGTTTTTCTAGTTGGAATCTAGTTATTATCACTAAAAACACTATTAAACCACTTTCTATTAAAGTTACTAGGCATTTCTAGACTTATGCAGAAAAGTTTGCCCCCCCCCCCAATAACGCGAAAGAACCGATCACTGCTGCGTTCTAGAAATGCCTGAAAGCTTTTTCGGAAATCGGAAATTAATGAAAGCTAGGCAACAAACTTTGAGTAAAGTTGTGGATCCCTTTCTGTCGGTTGGCTTTTCCTTCACGGCGGGTGGGGCGTCCTCGGATGTTAACGGCCTCTGCAACGTCTCATAAAGTCTAGAAAAGTCATAGAAAGCTTTAAAAAAATCGCCACTTTTCGAATTAAGTTGTTTGGATATTTGGTTAAAGTCTAGTTTACCCCCAGCCGTAACTTTCCAGCCATGCGTCCTATTAATTCGCCGAGTATGTCAAAATGTCTGCCGTGGTCGAATTACTATAGACAAGATGTTTTCTTACATAAGTCTGGGTTTTCTTTAGTTAACTTTTGCTGGTCAAAAGTGAGTTTTCGTATCTCGGCTATCTTTTGTCCTACAGAGCTGTCAATGGTACCAAAATGTACCTCTTGCTCTGGAAAATCAGCCTACAATGCATTTGAGTCGAAAAAATAAAAATAGCGGAAAATAAAAATATTTGATTTTTAGGCTCCTGATACATCGAAGCATAGCGTCCTAATCTTTTCAACTTTCAAAATCTTGTAAAAAAATTCTAACAATTTTTGTTGTACGAAAACAAATTGGCTATAGTAATTCGGTAATACTTTTTGAGATACCCGGCGCATTAATAGAACATATGGCTGAAAAGTTACGGCTGGAGAGGGGGGGTAAACTAGACTCTTACCGGATATTTCATTTTCTAGAAACTTCAATGTATCGTTTGAATTTCGACATTCCTTTTTGCGGCAAAAAATAACCTGACTTCCACTTTCTTACTTCTGTAAGAACTACTCTCTTTGTGGGTCATGTATTTCCCGCGAACCGAAAGCGGCACTAACCAAATCGGCGCGGTTGATTCGCAGCGCAATTCCCTCAGCCACCAAATCATAGACGCCGGCTCGTTCATTAACCGCTCGATCGGCTGGACGCTCGTTTGCTGCCGGCTAAAAAAATCATTTGGAGCAGATCAATTTGGTTCATGGTACCTTTCCGTCCAAAGGCAGCTTATGCCCCCCAGTGATGTTGACCGTTACAAGCTTGTACCGGCCGCCAGCCAGTTTCGTTGGAGGCGTCTTTGGAGCGGGTGGGTGGACGATCAGGGGCGTCTGGGGAACGACAGGGGATCGCTCGGACACTTTCGAATTCGGTTCTGACACGGATTCCGCGTTTTCCACATCTTCCTCCACCGGTTTCTTTCTAAAAAATGGCAAAAGATGTGATTGGCAAGATATAGGTTACTTTCTCATTGCACAACGAATCCCGATGCCGATGATCAGTAGCAATAAGATGACAGCGGCACCTGAAAGAAATAAGAAAGGTTATAGATACAAAAAGATCATAACTTACCAGCCACAATGCCGATAATGATGGTTCCACTCGACAATAGATCAGGACTTGTCGTGGTCTCGGTTGGAGGTGGCGCCGTTGTGCTTCCATATCGATTCGCGCAGATTCTCTAGAAACATCCAATTCATTTCTTTTCGCCGTATTCTATTCAAAAAACAACAATCATTAGAAAATATGCCGTACAGTGTCATTGCTCCCTTGGCACATCGGCGGCTTGATGGATAGTCCACTTTTGTCGCCGTTGCGAAACAGGACAAAGATGTTCTTGTCACAATTCAGCATCACATCCGCCTCGACTCGTTTCCGATCGTCCGCCTAAATACAACAAGTTGCCATAAATTGAGCATCCACCGCCAATCCATCCACATCAATGCATCGAGGATATCGAATCTTCTTCGGGCTGTCAGATTGGCGACGAGTCCGGCCGTTTCCTGCTTCTTTCGGTTCGGCCAATACGATCTGAAAAAGGTATTGTCGAGTAAATAACAAGCATCAGAACCTCATCGAAATGGAGAGCAGCAAGAGCTTCTTTCGTTCCGTTTGTAGTGGAATCAGCTGATGGAATATTCGAATCATCAGAAGCCGGCTTCTCCGTTGACACATCGACCTTCAGATTCTCTTCCAGATCCATGAATACGGCATACGGCCCAGACTGAAAAGAAATGACATCTTCGGAATCTCCAAAAAAGCCTACCAGAGCTCGACGGGCTGTGAAGAAAGGAGTCGAGCCATCCGGATCCGAGATATCCAGGAAGACACAATCCTCATAGGTGGCACCGGATTGGTATTCACACGCCTTGTCGCAACCGGGTGGTCGGAGGACCACTTCCCTCGTCAGTATCGAATCCCTTAAAAGACAACGGCCGATTGGTATCGCGTAATTTCTAACGGTGTTTCGCCATCTTCTTTGCAGATTGGTAGTGGTTCACAGGTTCCACCCTGAGGTCGCCCGCCTTTCTCGCAGTACTAAATATCACATTCAATCGGTCGAAAACATCGATTACCGTGAGGAGCAGAGGATCAGCAACATCGTACTTGTAATCGTTGAACGGGGATTGGTCATCATTACTGGCGTATCCGGCGGCCATTTGGAGACTCGGGATACATGTAGCGGCTGGCTTGCCGTCTTTTGAACCATGTTCCGCGATTGCTTCCGTGACAACCCTGTAAATTAAAGGGATGCCGACGGCATCGGTCGATCACCCCTGATCGACTTTTTGGCACGTAGCCCACAAGGCAGAGAACGCGCGCAAGGGCGAGACGCAGAGAAAGTTTCGTTACCTCGCGTCAACGATTACTTATGCCGTAGTTATCCCTTCAAGTTATGGATCCAGTATTTGGCTCGTTAATCGGTCGATCCGGCGCATGCGATAAAGCAGTTTCAAAGGCATTTGGCCATATTTACGTAATTCCTGTATGTAATTTCCAGTAGGTAGGCCGTCATTTTCTTAGGAAACGTCAAGTGGTACGTTAGCGTACCGCTATGGGTTAATAAATAAAAACAATATACGAGCCTTTCCTACAATGTATGAGGCTGAAAACGCTTTACTAACGGAGATGCACCCCAGCCAACAGAACAAACCTTGGAACGGTGAAGCCGGCGTCGCATTGTACGAAGTACTCGTTTGTGACTGGGCTTCCACTGATGCTGTATGGGTTCTTGCTCCTAGATGGCTGTCATCATTATTCAGTTAGCCCCCACCATGATTTTCCTTCGCATTCGCCGGCTGCCACCATTTCTCGTGTGCACAAGTTGAAAGGGAACAGCACTTTCTCTAAAAAGGGGCTGTCGCATTATCCGGGCTAATTTTTAATATTTCGTCATGTAAAAACACATAAAATATCGATTGTTGGGCCAAAACTCGAGGTTTTTAGATAATTTTTCGTCTGAAAAAACAGGTTCTTCCGCCTTATCGGGGCAGGAGGATTTCTTAGGCTACAATGCTTTAAGTATAAATAGGGCAAGTGTTTCTAAATAATGTTTTACTAATCCTAAACACAGAACTACAGACTTTTATCATAAAATACAAAAAATATGGATTTTTCGATCAAAAATGCCTCCCCCACCCCCGATAAAGCGAAAACCCTCCAAAAGTACATAAATATCTCAGTATCAAGCCAAACCTTTCCCAGCGTTGATCGGCACGGGTAGAACGCAACTTGGCGCACCAGCTACGTCTCCTTCCTTTTCTTCTTCTGGCTTCTAAAAGATTTCTTGAGGAACGCACCCGTTCGACTTACACAAAAATGGGGTTTGCAAGCGTCATTGACCCTGAGCCTTGGGGAGCCTCCGGTTCCAGGAGGCTTTTCGCATGTTTTGGCCACACATTCTGGACATTCCGTCTTCAACCAGGCCGGCATCTCGATTCCCGCATCAGCCAGATGTTCGTAGGCGTAGCAGAGGAAAAGGCGACCGTATTGACACTAAACAATCTGTGTTACAGAATAAATGAATGAGCGTACATCAGCTGCACCCTCACGGCGAACAAGATGATGATTGTCGGGGAGGAGGGCGGATGGACTGTTCAAGGAATGGCGAGTGCACTGACGCGGCAGATTGATGTCTCTGGAAAGACAAAAATATAGTGTTTTTTCAGTGTTTTCAGTAAGTTTTCACTATATTTAAAGTAAAAATTTTTTCAAAAAGTTAGGTAAGGGTTTGAGAAGTGAAAAATTTTGTCATTGGCTCAAAATAATCAGTTTTTCGACCTAAAATAAATGTTTGATTAAAATTTCTAAAGTTTTTACGCCGAGGAATAGTCCAAAACGTTGTAGAAACGCATCCGATATTGATAGAGAAAATTAGGGCTACGGTTTACTTTACCCCCAGCCGGAATGTTTTGGCTATAACTTTTTTATTTTACATTATTGTAGGCTCATATTAAAACTCTTAGTATATTTTTCGACGCTCTATCGAATGGCGTTGCGAAAATCCCGACAAAATAAGCGAAAATACCGACAACTTTGAGACCCTTCGGCTGTGGGGGGGTAAAGTAAACTCTTACCAAAATTAGGCTCGCCGAAAAAAGAAACAATTCACTACCACTTCCATTGCCCCAGAAACACAGAAGAAACTAACGCCTTGGCGTTGACATTGACGATGAAGAAGAGGGCGAAGATGAACGAGTAGATGATCCGTCTCCAGCCATCATCATCCATCAACCGCCGATGACGACGTCTCATAGATGGTCGAGTAGAAGAGGCCGTAACTTGTCGTGGGAATGGTGAGTGAAATTTCACCAAAAAGGGACGGAAAAACCCTGCCCATTCCAATTTTTCGGAATGGAAATCAGCTTTGCAAAGGTGGTTCTAAACTTTTACGACCCCAAACGTAAAAACTTGAAAAATTCGAATATCAATCGTTCGACCGAAATTACGAATTTTAAAAAAATTTGGAAGCGTTCAAGAGCATGTCGCGATGTTCGTGCCAAACATTTATTCCCACCAAGAAATATCCGTAGAGGAATCAGTAATCACAGCGAAAGGGACACTATTCGGGGGAATATCAGGGATCATACAAAAGCGAGTACGTCAAAGGTTTGTTCGGTAATATTATCGTTGACGGCTGTCGAAGTCGATCATCTGGGAATCAGCTACTTTTCTTGTCATTCGCGTCCTTTTTCTGAAAAAAATGACGGTAGATGAGTGGTTGCCAAATAAAGACACCGGTCGACACAAAAAAAAAAAAAAAAAAAAAAAAAAAAAATTTTTAAAAATAAAAAAAAATCATTTTTTTAAAAAAAAAAAATTTTTTTAAAATTTTTTATTTTTTTTACCGTACTTTCGGAGTCAACAGAACCAACTGTGGCACCATGGCTAATTTCAAGAATTTTTTGCGTTAGAAGCTTGTACTGGCCGCCAGCCAGTCTCGTTGGAGGCGTCTTTGGAGCGGGTGGGTGGACGATCAGGGGCGTCTGGGGAACGACAGGGGATCGCTCGGACACTTTCGAATTGGGTTCTGACACGGATTCGGCCTTTTCCACATCTTCCTCCACCGGTTTCTTTCTAAAAAGAAGATAAAAGAAACGATTAACAGGATATCGGTTACTTTCTCATTGCACATCGAATTCCAATGCCGATGATCAGTAGCAACAAGATGACAGCGGCACCTGAAAGAAAGAAGGAAGATTATCTTGATACAAAAAGATCATCACTCACCAGCCACAATGCCGATAATGATGATTCCGCTCGACAATAGATCAGGACTTGTCGTGGTCTCGGTTGGAGGTGGCGCCGTTGTGCTTCCATATCGATTCGCGCAGATTCTCTAGAAACATCCAATTCATTCCTTTTCACTGTATTCTGTTCAGCAAGAAACAATCATTTATCAAAAAATCCCTTACAGTGTCATTGTTCCCTTGGCACACCGGCGGCTTGATGGATAGTCCACTTTTGTCGCCATTGCGAAACAGGACAAAGATGTTCTTGTCGCAATTCAGCATCACATCCGCCTCGACTCGTTTCCGATCGTCCGCCTAAATACAACAAGTTTCTGATCGTCATAAATTGAGCATCTACCGCCAATCCATCCACATCAATGCATCGAGGATATCGGATCTTCTTCGGGCTGTCAGATTGGCGACGAGTCCGGCCGTTTCCTGCTTCTTTCGGTTCGGCCAGTACGATCTGAAAAAGGTATTGTCGAGTAAATAACAAGCATCAGAACCTCGTGGAAATGGAGAGCAGAAAGAGCTCCTTTCGTTCCGTTGGCGGTGGAATCAGCTGATGGAATGTTCGAATCATCAGAAGCCGGCTTCTCCGTTGTCACATCAGCCTTCAGATTCTCTTCCAGATCCATGAACACGGCATATGGCCCTGACTGAAAAGCAATAACATCTTCCGAATCTTCCAAAAAAAGCCTACCAGAGCTCGACGGGCTGTGAAGAAAGGAATCGTGCCATCCGGATCCGAGATATCCAGGAAGACACAATCCTCGTAGGTGGCAGCGGGTTGGTATTCACATGGCTTCTCGCAATCTGTTGGATGAAGTACCATATCCGTGGTAAAGTGTGAGCGCCTATAAAAACACCAATTTAATATTTATTCTCCATCTACCATGTTGTGCCGTCTTCTCTGCAGATTGGCTGTGGCTCGCAAGTTTCATCGATAAATCGTCCGCCTTTCCCGCAAAACTAAATAACGAATTTTAAATGCTGAGCTGATGTTACCGTAACTTTCAGAGGATCGGCAACATCATATTTGTATTGAGTGAATGGCGATTCATCATTCGTGGCATATCCGGCGGCGATATGGAGACTCGGAACGCAAGTGGCTGCTGGAGGATCAGCTGCCTGGCCATGTTTCGCGATTGCTTCGATCACGACCCTGGAAATTGTCGGACTGTCGGAAATTTTGGGAATTTTGCGAGTTTTTTAGCGCTGGCAGCGTAATATCGTTCAATAGAAAGTCAAAATATCTCCGTGAGCGAGACTCTCGGCTTTTCTTCTGCTCGGGGGCTAAGCTTCAGTCTTTGACTCAAAAAGACAACCACTCACGTTGGAATAGTGAAGCCGGCATCACACTGTACGCGGTATTGGTTGGTTAAGGGTGCTGCGCCGATAGCATAATTCGTTGTGCTCCTAAAGCTCCATGTTGAAAGATCGATAGCCCCACCAAGCTTTTGCTCCGCATTTACCGGCTGCTAGCATTTCCCGTGTACAGAGGTTGAAGGGGAAGAGCACTTGTTCTAGAAAAAAAATTGGTTGTTCCATGAGGATTCGCGGCGGCGGGAATCCGCTGTGTTCAGACGAGTAAACAAATATAAAATGTTTTTATACTTTTTTACTTAGTTTTAACTATATTCAAAGGAAAAAAACTTTCCAAAAATGTTTTGAAAAAGTAATTTTGGTCTTTTGGGTTGAAAAATGAATTGCTTCTTAAAAAACAAAATGAAAAAAAAGCCCTAAAGTCGATGCAATTTTTATTATTTTTTGACCTTTGATTTGACATTTGATCCAACCTTTCCGAGGGCTGATCGTCACCGGTAGAATGCAATTTGGTGCGCCAGATACTTCTCCCCCTTCCTTTGCATCCTAGAATGGACAAGGTGAATGAACGGAAACCGAAAAGCCAATAATGCGCTACAGTCCAAACCTATACATGTTAAAGCTAATTACGAATAATCGGCATTTCTTGTGGTCAAGCGATTAAACCCACGCAAAAATTCGGCCGACAGTTTTTCGGGTTTTCCAGTCTCGTATCAAGCGTTAGCGTCGTGCCCTCATCACAGGTTTTGGCGTCACAAGGCGTACACTCGGCTGCAACCATTCTGGCATCGTGATTTTGAGATGCTCGTAGGCGTAGCAAAGGAAAAGGCGCAGCCTCGGACACTGAAAGGAACTGTTGGTAGGCGGAATAATGAATAGCTACATCATCACGTCGAACCCGATGGTGGCTGTCTGGGAAGAGGACGGATGGATTGTTGACTGGCTGCAAGGTAGAGTGAGGCGGAAGATTGACATCTCTGGAATCATAGACGATTAACAGATGAAACACAAGAAAACATAAGTGATATAAACGACGGTTCTGGACTCTTACTTTAGTTAGCGGCGCAAAAAACCAATTTTTGTTTTTTTTCCACGTATACCTACCTACCAGTTGCTGATATATAATGTATTTTTATAGTTTTTAGTAGTTTTTGATTGTGATAAAGTTATAAAAAATATTTTGTAATTTGCAAATTCAAAAATTTTGAGGACTTTTGGCCATTTTTCATACATTTTTGACCAAAAAGCTTCTGTTCTTTTATGTTTCAGTGGGGACCTGAACTCTGACCGACGACTATGGATGCTTCCCAAAAAGAATTTTCAAGACGTTTCCAAGAGGTTGCAACTTTCTACGAGTCACGATCACTTCCATTGCCCGAGAAATGCAGAATAAACTGACGACTCGGCGATGACATTGACGGTGAAGAAGAGGGCGAGGATGAACGAGTAGATGATCCGTCTCCAGCCATCATCATCCATCAACCGCCGATGCCGACGTCTCATCGATGGACGAGTAGAAGCAGTCTGGTTGTCGGAATCCAAGTAGCTGTTTCCGAACCTCAACCTCAATTCTTGAAAGGCTTGGAAAAGATGCAAAATATCGTTTGATGCTAATTGATTGCTGGTTCTGCAAACCTCGACTTTTTGCGAAAAGTTGTCAACTTGTTCCTTACATCTTCTAAACTGTTTTTAATAGCAAAATTAAAAAAAAAGACAAAAAAATTAGAGTTTTCATCAAAAATAGATGACTTCCGCTCAAAATTTCGACCAAAAACCTTTTTTTGAAGTTTTTTTATTGTTTTTCCCCTTCAGTTAGTTGAATATTCAGGTGTTCTACGGTTTTAAAACAACTGATTCATAGCTCTTTTAACGCTCCCCCGCTAATGACCCAGCACTGAAATCCACATTTTGACTGGTTCGAGAGTTCTGGGTTGTTGTAGCGCTCCTGGCTGCTGTGGATCTTGCTGAAAAATCAAAATCGCGCCCTGTTCGATCCCCGAACACGGCAAATTCCTCCTCGTCATTAAAATGGCGAATTCCTGGATGGCCAGGGCGGAGAAAGATAAGAAAAATTCGCAGAATTGGATGCGACAGGAGGGGAGGCATAAAGTGTTCGATAAGCCACTGAAGGAAAGCGCGACTTTCTTCTTGCTAACTGCTTACTAACGTTTTTCCTCAAAGTCTTATAATTTCTAAACCGCCGTCTTCATTCTAGGCTGGACGTTTCGTAATTACGCTACTCGACTGTTAGCGGGGGGGTGATTTTTTTTGCTTTCCTGCTTGCTAATGTATCCTACTATCCTACTATATATAAAAAATAGTGTTTGTGTGTGTGTGTGTGCATTTGCATGCAACTTCCGTCCGTATGTTCCAGTCGTATCTCAATAGGGGAGGAAGTTATATTGTATACTTTATTCATGTTATTGAATAAGCGGTTTGAAATCAAAAATTCAGAGCAGGATAAAAATGAAAGAAGGGGGGAATATGGGGCCGGGTCATATGACGCTGAACGGGGTGCTCTGCAGATCCATATTTTGCAAGTTTCGCCGAAAGATTTTTGCGGTACCCGCACGAAAAGCTGACCGGGGGAGCCGATTCCAAAGCTTTATGACCCTACGTGAGAAAAAAGCGCGCGAGAAACCTTGGACGCTTTGGGTCCGTCTGATTTGAAAAGGGTGTGCATTTCGGGGAGGACGATCTGATAGTTGGAACAGCTTACAGGGAAAATTTGGCAGAAATAGAGACTTATAGCAAGTTGCCAGGTCGGCTTCTATCCTACGTTGTTCTAGGGTGGGAAGTGAGAAAATTTCTAGTCGGTCTGCATAAGGAGGGGGTGCTGAGTCTGGGAAGAGTTTCAGTAAAGCGAAACGAGTAAACTTGCGCTGAACGCTTTCTAACTCGTTGATTTGGCACTTCTGAACCGGGGACCAGACCTCACTGGCATATTCCAAAATTGGCCTAACTAAAGTGCAGAAAACACGCCTATATGTTGCTATGTTTGGGACCTGGATACGTTTGATTAAAAGGTACGAGATTCGTGATGCGCTGAGTCGTATATTCGAAATATGTTGTTTAAATTTCAGCTTATTGTCGTAGGTCACTCCGAGATCCTTAATTGACTGCATTTCCTTAATAGGCGATGGTCCTAAAAAGAGGGGCGGAATGTTGCGGGAAGAGGAGAGAAGAAAAGTCTTTGATGGGGCGAGTGACATGCAGTTTTCATGGCACCACGTCTCTACAGCGCGGATGTCTTTTTTGCAGGGAGCGAAAGACCTCCGCAGCCCGGTGAGAGTCACGAGGGACACTAGCCGAAATTTTTAGGTCATCAGCAAAGATAAGCGGATTGTTTTCCAAAAGAGGGGGTAGGTCATTAATGTAAATTAAAAATAGTAAAGGTCCGAGGACACTGCCCTGGGGAACGCCGGAAGGTTGAGGCCTAATCTGTGACTCGTTTTCTGCTACTCTAACGAAAAATTGCCGATTTGTGAGATAGGCTGTTAGCCAGGAGGTCAGAGTTTTAGGGAGGCCGATGCGAATCGTCTTTGTATCAAAAGGGAGTGAGGGACTGTGTCGAAAGCCTTTGCTAGGTCGAAATAGATGTTGATGGGGTCTTCTTTTTGGTCAATTCGGTTTGCTAATTGATGAAACATTTGTAACATTTGCGCAGTGGTGGAGTGCGAAGCTCGGAATCCGTATTGTGCTGGCGAGAAAAACGATATTTGGTCGAGAAAAGCTACAATCTTAGTTTTTAAGGCAATCTCCATCAGTTTACAAAGAGAAGAAGTTAAAGCTACTGGGCGATAGTTTTGGGGCAAAGTCTCGTCACCAGATTTGAAAATGGGCACTATTTGGGAAGTTAACCACTGCGAAGGCACTTTACCGGCAAGCAGTGAAAGATTAAATAGTTGACAAAGGGCATGGCAGAGGGTATAGGAACACTTTTTCAAAAACAGAGCGGGCAAATTTTCCGGGGTCCAATGCATCTTTGGGGCTAAGAGCTCCAGGGCTTTTTGGATTTCGTGAGGGGTGAAAAGGAAAGGGTGGAGGACTTCCTGGGCCTCACAAACAGTTTGAGTTGGCGTTTGGCCGGTTTGTGGAACTTTAAAAACTTTGGCGAAGTTTTCGGCTAGGATTTCCGGGATTCGCTCAGGGTCATTTTCTAGGGAGTCCCCGTGGTCCGCCAGGGCCGTAATCTGGGGGCGTTTGCGCTTTCGGTTCAAATAGGAAAAAATACGGCGGGGATTTCCGGAAGCAAAAGTGCGCCGCTCGAAGTTTAAAAGGAATTTGTCGCAGTTTTTCTTATGCCTACGAGAGTGAAGCAGATATTCATCAAAAGTTGCGTCTCCATGAGTGAAAGCGAGCCAGGCTTTTTCCTTTCGTTTTGCCGAACGCGCAACATGGTCAGGAACCTTATAGGGAACGCTGGGATTTCTAAGCGGGACCAATTTGCTACAAATACTGGACAAAATTTCTACTGTGCGGTCATATTTCTCCTGCAAAGTTTGATCT